TGCAGTGTACACCTGCAGCAGACTGGTTGGACCTGTGAAATGTTTGTGTGAGCTTTTACAGTATCATTTTATTGCAGTCATAAAGCAGCAGTTACACATAGTAACCTCGCCAATCCAGAGGAAATACAGTCAGATTTAACAATAGCATGATGAAAACGGTTTCTTGATGCCGTTTTTATCTCTTCCAGGTAACATCAGAGTTCCTGGTATCCAGACCCTTCTGTGGAAAAGGATGCTTGGCTCGCTACAAAGGCAAATGGTCCCGTGTAGAGGTAAGAAGACACTGGTCTCTGCAGCTCAGACTGTGAATTATTAACAAATCCACATACGATTGATGTTGGCCTGACAAAAGGATAAAGTCACATTATTGCACAATAAAGCCAGGTGTGGTTGCTATGAGGGCAGAGATCAAAAAGAACTAATAACTAACTACCTAAGGTACAGCAGAGTGATATGATTTGAAACTGGCAGAACATTTAACAGCCATTATATATATTTATACCTCCATATAACTCTTGAAATTTGTTTAACTGTAAAAAATAAGACGTTTTCCTTTCTATAATTCTGTCTTTAGATCACCAACCTTCACGGCAGCAGAGTGCTGGACATCCTGTTCATTGATGTGGGTGTGCAGGCTTCTGTAGAGGTGTTTGAGCTGAGAGAGATCCCACCGCCATTCCTCCGTGACCTTATGGCCATCCCACCACAGGTCAGCTTCCATGCGTTCGAAGTAGTAGTAGTCAAGAACAGTCAAGAGCAATGATCAAAGGAGAGTTTTGTTATGTACTGTTGTAGTGAGGGCAGCTTCTTTATACAGTCCAACAAGGATTAGCTGAGAAAATGACATCCATCAACATGTTTTTAGGCTGTGAAGTGCTGTCTAGCAGACCTGGCTGTCAGCGTTGGATCCTGGACTCCAGATGCTGTCCAGTGGCTTCGAGAGAAAGTGCTCAACACCACAGACTGTAGCATGAAGGTAAATTGCCGCCCGTCCTTCCTGAACATCTAAACCAGTGATCTGCAACGTGGTGCCTGAGGGGAGTGAAAGTGAAGAATACATACAACTGACTATCCCTATAGATAGTTCTACAATCTGAAACCAAACCATGACATGAGTTTCTTAACATTTATTTACCATGACTGCTACTACTAGTATTTTCTTCTCTCACCCCAAGGTTGCCAAGGTAGATGAAACCAAGCGCTGCATCTACATCCACCTTTTCACCGACAAGAGCTTCCACGACCCTGCCCGTAGCCTCAACCATCAGATGGCCCAGTCTGACCTGTTCAAACAGCGGCCAGATGTTTTCCTGACGAGCCACAGGTTTCTGCTGCTTTTATATTTACCTGTATTACCCCCTCACTTTCAGTTAAAAGTTATACATTACTTTATACAATAAATGTCTTGTTTGTTCATTGAATTTCACAGCCCTGCCAAGATCTCCACAGCCACTTTATCCTCCAAGACTTCTAGCACCAGTAACTCCATTAATGGGAGTCCAGTGTCAACTTCTGTCCCAGCCAAGCCTCATCTCAGGAGGGCTTTGTCGGGACCCAGAGGAGGTGGAGGAGGCAACACCACCACCACCAGCCCACCAGAGACACCGTCATCCCCCTCATCCTCTCTCCAGCTGCCTCCATTACTAGAGCTGCCCCCAGCAGGTAGTGGAAATCTTACTTATTGAGGACAAACATATTCCAAGGCAGGAAATCAACTGTTTATGTCTTAATGTAGCCTAGAAAATGACATGTTCATATGACGGTCTTTTTCTTCTCAGGAAACAACATAGATGTTTATGTGTCAGTGGCGTGCCACCCAGGTCACTTTGTGCTGCAGCCCTGGAGAGATATGTACAAACTAGTGGTGTTGATGGGAGAGATGATTCTCTACTACAATAAAACTGAGCAGAAACCACTCAACATAGAGAAGAATCAGATATACGCTGCTAAAGTGGAGAACAAGTAAGTAAAGCAATTATTTATTTCATTTCATTCATGAAAACATTGGGCACAACTGAAAATTTGATCTTGAACAGCCTGGAGCTAGCTCTGGCTCGAAGAAAGACAATACATTAGAGTATAGTCTATTAATCTGGTTTCCACTGAGGATTTGTGCTTGGTTCCTTCTGTCATTTTTCTGCCTGTAGTGAATATTCAGTATATAAATATATGTGCTTTGCCTAAATATATGCACTCTTCCTCCCTAACTTCTCTCAGCTGGCATCGTGTGTTAGTGAAAGGAGTTCTGACCAATGGGTTGGTGTCTGTGTATGAGTTGGACTATGGTAAACACGAGCTGGTCAGCTGCACGCAGCTCAGACCGCTGATCAAAGAGTTCAGACAGCTGCCGTTCCAGGGAATCACTGCTCAGCTGGCTGGTGAGTAGAGTGGACCTTCACAACAGAGTGATGGCTATTACTAAGGTCATGTCCAAACTCCAGTGGTGGAATACTCAATTAAAGTACACAAGTATTATTTTGAGGTACTCTACCTTAGAGTAAATTATAGTTAACTTAAAAACATATAATGAACTCATTCAATATGATGCCTTTTTTTATTAATTAAACTGCCCTTTCCCAACTTCTTAATACTGCCAGCTAGTTCTACTACTTTATACAAAATAGTAATAGTATCCCAGAGGACATTTTTCTGCATTATAAGTACATTTGCGAGTATTTTTATATTGTTATACTGCTCATTCATATCTGACTCTCTTGCAGGATTGAAGCCGAGGCAGTGGTCAGAGGAAGCCTCCATCGTTTTCAGGAACCACGTGGAGAAGAAACCCCTCGTGGCCCAGCTGGAGGCTGTACAGGAAGCCGCTAACCCCTGGGACAGGAAGTTGACTGTCTTCCTGGTCGACACTTCACAGGAAGAAAGGGACATCTGGGTGCATGACATCATGGCTGAATTTGCTGATGAGCTGACCAATGAGCTGTAGACAACCGAAGATCGTCAACGAGTCTTACTAGCTGAGCAGTTGTCCAGTTGTGAATGAAGACACTGTGAGTTGTGGATAGACAAAATAGAAGAAGCTTATCCATATTTATCTATCTACCATTTAGGGGGACTGAAAGAAGAAGGAAATGAAAAAAATGAAGGACAAGTTGCAAGAAGAAGGGAAATTGAGAGGTTTGATAGCATGTAGAGACTGGCATTGACAGAAAGACAAGTGGTGTAGGTGTTGTAGCCACTTGCTTGTTGTGTTTTGGGCTGTACACCGAAGGATGTTGTGATGTGATTTTGAGTGACTGCAGTGTAACCATTGGACAATACACCTATGCATGATGTTGGTCCAAACTTGCCACAAATACTCAAAACATACTTTGAGCATACAGTAACAAACTGCTGAATCTATCCGTAATAGTCTCACAAAGCTGTGGAAATGATACAACATGCATTCATATACCTGTCGTATGGGCTTTAATGCAATGCAGCATCTTACCTTACAGTACAGTGAGTGCATCCACTTTCAGTGTGTGTCATCTTGGGCGGGGACGCCTGAATACCCTGCCAATGTGAGCACCATGCACAGTGCACAAAATGTTAAAATTAACTCAGCAAGTTCTCACATGCTAGGAAAACTTATATGCATTTGTTTACAAAACTCTGCTTTCTGGATGGTATTTCTGATCGTCATAAAGTTTACATAAAAGTTAGAGCAGACATTCCCCCTGAGAGGAGAAGAAATAGATGTGTCAGTGAGTCATGGGGGACAGACGTAATGTGATTTTCAGTTTTAGAACTAAATTTCGAGTGCAGTATCTACCTTCTTGGTAATTGATGGGAGCAGTTTTTGTAGTTGGCTCTTTTAGTGCACAAGTCTGCTGAACTTACTGGCCAAGGTTTTGGTGATACTCAATATGAGATATGTTTTGTTTAATCAGTGGTGGCAGGCTACATCCTGGCACTGCAGATACACTAGAAGAGCTTATGGTTTTAATTTTAATCAAATTGAAAGAATTGATTGTTTTGTACATGAAAAAACCCAACCAGTTCCTCAGACAGATGAAATTTTTAACTCATGGTCTACTTCCTGACCCGTGATGGCAGTGACTCATCCATCTCTTCTCCTCCTGTGAAACACTGATTCCAGTGTGACTCAATGCTTTTTAGGAGTTAAGGAGTATCTCTCCTGTTATTCTGTTTCTTGTCCGACCACAAGACTTTTAATTTCAGCAGAATATATGTGCTGCATGTTGCAGATCTTTCTGAATTGTGTGCACATATAGTTTGATCGATGTTATAATAATAAGCAAATTAAGTTACCAGTAGTGTTAAGCTTTTAGATTTTCAAATAGGATATAAGCTCTGCGTGGTTAGTTCCAGTGCCACCATCAAATGTTGGCCTGATGTGGGATTTTATTCTAAAATGTGACTTTTCGGGACATACCTGCACCGTGGTTTTGGATGTGCAAATGCTTCTCCAATTCTAAAGACAGTAGACGTGACAAAGCTCAAAGCTGCATCGTTGTTAACAACTGACAATGAATTTAATTTATATTTAACTTATATTCTCTAGATGATAATTAACATTATCATTTCCATTTTGTTTGACAATGACCTGGAGGTAATAAAAGACTTGTTTTTTGGAATAAAGTCTGTTTGAGAGGTTTAAATGTGATCAGTCCATTGAATTACTGATTCTATTGTATATTATAATAGTGTTGTGCTGTTTAATTGAAGGGCAAGTTTAGAAAACTCACATCATTTTTATTTCTTTATTAAAATAGCAAACCATTTCAGTCTTATTTACATGTTATATCACTGCAAAAAGTTCACAAATCTAATCTCTTGACAGCATCCACCATATCTGTTGTCATACAGCATCACTCTGATTCCTCTAACAATTCATTATTCATACAATAATTACAGTTAGGCACACGTTATGTTGTAGAAGTCTATATCTACATTACAAACATTACCAAATTGTCAAGATTTGATAGTGTGGAATGATTCAGTAGCATTAGCAATGCTGTCCTAGTTGGTGGTTTCAGCAGCTAGCGAATGGAGAGCATCATCACAAACTCTGAAGAGGAGGAGAGAGAAGACAAAGCAGAGCAAGTGGAGTCAGTACCGACTTCATATGACTAAACAGCAAAGGTCTACCTCTGGTTAACAAGTCAGCTGCATTAATGTGTTTGTGCCTGAGCTTCTTAATTCTCACCTTCAAAGTCAATGTTTCCATCTGCGTTAATATCCAACTCCTTTAAGATCTCCTCCAGTTCTCCTTTCTTCAGCTTCTCCCCCACCATCGACTTGACCGCCTCCTTCATCTCGTCCTGGTTGATCTTCCCGTCTCCATCGAGGTCGAACTAAAAACAGAGAAAGCAATGACAATGGGTTGACAGCAGGAGGAAAACAGTACAATTTCATTTGTTGGAATTTGTACAATTATTGTTATTCTTTTTTAAATTTATTAACTGAGGTGTACACAACTGGACCATTTTATGTCTGACATATCAGCTCACACAAATTTTCATCTGACTGACCCTCTTTTGGACCCTCTTTTGCTGTTATTTTGTAACCGTGTGAATTGCTTTATTATCAGCTGACTGACCTGTAGAAAGGCAGATTGGAGCTCTTTGAGTCCCAGCATGTGAGCAGTCTCTCCCATCATCCTGGGTCCCATCAGTTCAACAAAATCTTCAAAATCCATTAATCCGCCCACTGTGGAGAGGAGAGATGCCAGAAAATGGACAAGGTGCTCAGTTGCAAAAACATCCAAACAAATTAGCATCTTTTGATGTTCATAGCCATTGTGTGCTTATATCCTCAGCTCACTTCTCATCTTGATTTGTTGAACTATCTCCAGCAGCTCCATTTCCGTGGGCATGTATCCCATGGTCCTCATACATTCAGCCACATCCTTGTAGTTCAGGTATCCATCTTGATCGTAGTCAAACTCTTTGAAGGCCTCCTGCAACTCTGGAAGGGAGGTTAGGAGTCACAAAGATTACAACTGTTCCAGAAGTGTTGTAAAGTGAAGTTCATCAGGGCAAAATGGTTGAGGATTATGGCATTGCTGCAACATCACAATCCTAAAATTGCCAGATTTACAGATTTTAGGACCAAAAATCAAATCTGTTTGAATCTAGTGTAGTACACGATCTAATAAACATTGTGGCAACAACCAAAATTCGTCCACTTTTACAATCCAAGGGAACATTTATCTATGTTACTGAATGTACTTGTAGGTAACTTAATTATAGTTTAGAGGAAAAGTATATTTTTTTCACACAGACAATCCAAATGTTTCCATCTAGGTCCATACTAATTTAAAAAAGCTGCTTTTGTGAACTTTATAGAGTCAGAATGTTTTTATGAATGTGGAAGAAATGGCCAGGAAATGGAGAGAGGTAAAAATAAAGACTTTATAATGAATATAGGTTTGGCAGTTATATAAACAGGAACTGATTTATATGCATGGTATTATATTAGTTTGATACAATAATTTAGTACTAAAATAATAACCTTAGTACCTTAATAACCTTAATAATGTTAACCTTAGTAATGACATTGAGCTATGGTAGTGCCACTTACCGTCTAACTCAGCCTGAGCTAATTCCCTTTCCTGCAGAAACAGTAAAAAACACAGGTTCAAATACTAAATACTAAAAAAGGAAGATTACACTGCAATATGAAATACTACCAAAGTATATTGACACCAACTTTTAATAAAAACATTTTGTAATGCATAATGGATATAAAGAATGACCGAATTCTCAGGTATGACCATGTTTATCAGTTTCCGTTGGCTTGTATTCATATTCACAGTGAAAAGGGGAAACATTTTCAGATGGAATCAACCAAGTGTGGCAGTGCTTTTCATTTGGATAACCCTAACAAAGTGTGGCATTAAGCCTCAGCTAATGAGCCACTAATACTACAGACACACCAGGCTTAGTGATGGCAGCCCGAGAAAGATCAGGAACAAAACTGTAAGTACGCTGGCTGACTTCCACTTCACTTCTGAATCTGATGCTTTAATGTCTGACATGCAGTGTCTGAATGAGCAGCCACTGTATTGTAGAGATCAGTTATATCAATAATACATTTTAAGTAATCCCCATGCCTATCTCGGCCCATAGCTATATTAAGATCAATGTGCTTTATATTGTCAGTTGTTGTTGCAGTATAGGTCAAAGGTCAGAGGGCGACAGCAGAGGTCCGGTACCATCATAGCCAAGAAGAGGATTGTCACATCTAGTTCAACTAAAATCACAAAATGTGGATGTTCGCTACTTACCGATCCAAAAACACTTTCGAGCACAGAGTTGTAGACTTTGTTCATACTCTCTGTGGTTTTTTTGGACTTCTTTAAGGATTTCTTTGGTGTTTCGGAGACTGAACCTGATGGGGAGGCAGCATCCTTGCTACAAGATGGAAAAACAGCAAATTAATGAATTAAACAATTTGTTAATAAACACCAAACACCGGTGAATTTAAACTTACCCATCTGTTGAGGCTGAGTCGACAGAAGTGGTAGAGGCTGTCCTCTCTCCTGCTTTGGACATGCTGTGGACAAACAGAGGCATACACTGTGTATCCAATGGTAACATTCACTCCCCCCAAAATAATCTGCACATGTTAGCTTGAACACCCATGTTTTGGACATAAATCCATAAATGCTTTTTGGGATTCAAGAAGATTAAAATCTTGTTTCAAAGACTTTTAAGTAATTTAACAGTTTTTCCAGCTAACACCTTAAATATGAATCCAGTCATTTCACTGCAGTTTGCTTGCCTTAATTCCCGCTCCTAGATGGTAAGAAAAGAAAAGCAGCACTCGTTCTCCTTGTGTGGTGCTCCACTTGTGTGTGTTGTGAATGGATGCACTCTTCCTGGTCCGTTCTGTTTTTCCCTCTCTTGACCTCCTTCTATCAGAGAGGCTTAACGGGTAATTACCTGGCTAAATGTGCAGCCAATGATTAGAAAGCAAACGTGGTGCAGCAGTGTGACTGGTATGACCTTCAAGAGGTGAGTTTCCTCCTGCTTCAAAGCCCAGCTTGAAGTTTCTTTCAAGGGTCAGGTGCATTGAGCCTCTTGCTGTTGGTTTTGCGGTGATAAAGTGTGTTTCTGGTGGCTTTTGTGTTATAACTATTGTAACAACTACAGAACTCATATGGGCACCCTGGCAGATTCAAATCATACATTATTTGATGACACGCATAATTTCGTGTCAATGCAGGCTCTTCATATAACTGTGATGTAAAAACTAAAGACATGTTAATTAGTTAATTATTCTGACCACAGAGATTTTTGGGGCCAGTGGTGATCATTCATATCAATCACAACTATGGAAGCAGCTTTACTGTTGGACAATAATAATAATATTGTTTACTGACTCATCACCTCTGTCAGCTCACAATATACAAACTTGTATGACAAACTAGTGTACTGTATCTAGCTAATAACTATTTTAAAACTAATAATTTTAAAATGTAGTAACTGACAGGTTCATGTAAAGGCTGGTTGTTAACTTTTATTGTCTGATTTTATTGTTTTTGATTTTATTTAAATTTTCCTTGAGTAATGTGTGTTTTTAAATTGATCAGTTTTGTAGGATTTTTAAATAACCAAAACATACTGCATTGTATGTTATAATGCCCTTTAAGCGCTATTTACGGTAAATTTGCATAACCAATCAAACTACCAGGCTACTGTGTTCTTTTGTTTATTTAAGTCTGCGTTACATGTGCTTAATATAACGTTAGGTGACATTAGCTTACTTATATTAATTAAATGTATTAGTTCTGCAGTTATTTACACCCTGTACTGCTTGAAGAAGGGCTGTGACACGACCTGGACTTAACTGGATATTTTGTTTAGTCACCATGGCGCCGTCGTTGGCCTTCAACTATTCGTCTACGGTAGTGCAAAAGTCTACAGTCACCGTAGACAGTTACGCCTTCTGGTTGGTCAATTCTGACCGTAGACTACCAATCATATCGTCTCCTGGCGTCATGTGACTGTCCGTAGACAGTTGCGGCTTCTGATTGGCCCAGAGTCTACGCTCGTTAGTTTATGCATTTGTATTTTCCTCGGCTATCATACAGTAAAGTATTGGTAAGACTGAATTAATCAATTAATTTGTTGTTACACTCACTACTCACTGCGCCTCATACATAAATTAATTTATTATAACACTATTTATATTGAGCATTGTCTTTATCGATAGACAGGACATAGCGTTAATGTTAGCATTAGCGCCTAACGTAAATAAATATTTATTGTGTGTATGTATGTATGTATGTATCTATCAATGACCTGTTGTAACCAATGTTCATTGTTATATTAGTAATTGATAATAACAATAATAATATAATAATAATCAATCTCAATCAATCAATCAATCTTTGTATAGCACCAAATCACAACAAAGTCATCTCAAGGCACTTTACACATTGAGCAGGTCTAGACCGTACTCTTCAGGTTTAAATAATATAATAATAATAATAATATAATAATAATAATAATAATAATAATAATAACACGTCTGTCTTTGTTGTTGTTTTTGGTGCATTGCTGTATCTAAGTGTATTTCAGTATCTCCAGAAGAGAGACCCCACCACAGATCAGGGCCGTCAACCCAGATGCCCCTGCACATTGCCAACAGGCTGCACTGATGGCGACCAGAGAGGCCCGTAGCTATCGGGATAAGAAGGTGTTCTTCCCCAAACCTCCACAGGAGCTGCTCTTCCAGGCAGCTGCCCTGGCCCACACAGAGAAGCTCCTTCAGGCTGAGGGTATCCCTGTGCCATCCCGTCAGCTGTGCCTGGGAAAGCTGGTGGTGCCATTTGGACAATATGAAAATGCACCATTCCACTGGCTTGTGGCAAATGATGTGGGCTACATGAAGTAGTAAGCATGTTATATTTAATACCATTGTAGACAATTGCACAAACTGTGGCTATCATTGGTGTTTATTATTCATCTTTTCAAAGTTTAGTTACTCATTATCACAACTGCAATGATATTGATGTCAGTACTAAGTTGGTGTTTATCCTTACAGTGTGATTGACAAGAACAGGTTAGAGGTAACAAACCCACACAGAAAGGGAGAGATTGGGAACCAGTGGGTGAAAGATTACCTCACAGAATATGCAGAGAGCTTCCCACAAGTCTCCAGTCTCCTCGAGGCCAACGTCGACAGGTGTATCTACGGCCAGAAAGGGTTCGAGGATCACACCTTTCAGGAGATGTGGGAACTCTACCGGCAGCACCACGCGATGAAGAACAGGCCAGAGGAGTTTAGAGATGAGCAGCGGGAGCTTATAAAGAAAGTAAGGAGATGGCTTAACACACCAGTGACACACAAAACCAGTGCGCAGATGAAAAGATTCAGAAAA